TACTGTCAGACCTTGCTCTCCCTGAGCACATGGAAGTGAGGAACACATTTGAAAATGATAACCCTGAAATTAAACATGGCTATAGCAATTTGCATATAGTACCCATACACTTCATCCAAAATTGCCTGTTACCTTTTTTTCAAAACACTGCAATTTCTAACATAGGTACTCCATAAACACTTGAACAGCAGTTTGAAATCTACTTAGATGTAATATAAATTGTGTATGGTATTAGTCCAAAGGCAAAAGGTTCATGATTTACCATATAGTTCATTGGGCTGGGCCTCATTAGAGTCAACAGCATTTTAAGCCATGGTGAGCCATGACATTGCATACTGTTCACCCAGAATCCCTCTGTCAAGCCTCTCTCTGACTAATTTGATTAATATGGCCCTGCCCCTTGCAGTGACCCCGCAGCTCAGCATTACTCAATGCTGAGGATCCATGTAGTTAGCCCCCACTCATGATTGAAACCAGTGTTCTTGTTAAAAGTCCTGGGATGCCCCAAAAATGTATGTGCAGATGAGGTGCAGGGCAACCTTGTCTGGCTTCAGTTTGTGGAGGGCAGGGCCACGCTAATACGAACCAGCCTGGGAAAGGGGCTGACAGGAATTCTGGGTATGCAATATTGTGGCTTGCCATGACTTGAAAAAGAGTCAGACAAGAGGATGACTGCACTTAATGGGTGCTACCATACATCTTATTCAGATGGGTTGCACTAACCTATCATTATGGTAGGTTCCAGTCAGCATGTTTGCATAACGTGGGCCATGTGTGTTTTATAGTCATGCCCAGTGCTGCATTTAATTAACTTTACAGTTAGTTTTCAATGCTGAGCACATGCTGCTTTTGGAAGCAGTTTAATGATAGACATTGTATTTATTGAAATGTCCTTGAATGCAATTGCAAGATGAAGAGCTTTTTTCCCCATGCCATTTGGGGTGGGAGGAGGAGAGGGGCTCATCTTGTATTTGAGTCAATATGCTATGTAGATGCCTTAAGTAGTCTGTCAGCTATCCCTAAATCATGTCACTAACTGCATTGGTAAAAACTGGTAAACCGAAACAGTTTCCACAGAGAAACAATGTGAAGGAAGATACTAACCTTCACATTGAAACCTTTCAGAAAAATATTTTTATGCATGTATTTTTCCTTGATGTGTGTACACTATGTTTTATTTATATGGGAATTAAAGAGATTACTTCAAACATTTGGACTAAAAGCAGTAGACAGCATATTACAAATGACCAGAAGAGGCAATATGATGGAGAAATGCTTTATAATGCCTCTGGTACTAGTAATTTATACATTGCTTGCAACATTTCAGCTGCAAACTCCTAGTTTGATGTTTATTGCTTCTGTCGGATAATGTTCTCTTGGCTGCGTTTGATGCATCTTTTCAATCTATGCCAGATGTTTTCCAAAAATTCCCCCAAAATACATCAATTATCTTGTTTCTAAAAGCCAAAAAAGCTTGACATTCTCTTTGCCAACTTCCTGTTTTCAGCTGTTTTCAAAAATATATTTTAATAAATACAATATAAGTATCTAAATGGCATGTGTTAAGAATTGCATTAATAAAGCCACTATTCAATAGTTAGAAATCCTAGCGAATCAGGGGCTTTCATGGAGTTATTTTGAGAGCAAATGTTATACAACTCAATGTATTTGTTCCTATTTACCATGTTGTTTTCTCTACTGGATAAAGCTCAGCCATCCAGCTGTCAGTACAGATATCTAGGATTTAAATGCATCAATGCATCTAGATTTTTCTATAGAAATTGGATCTGATGCTAATGTTTACTAGAAACAGACTTTTACCATGCAGTTGGTGGAGTGACAAAGTACTATACAAATCAGCAAAACCAAACAAATGAGCATATGGTTTCCAGTACCACTTGCAGTGACTGACCTGTAAAAAGCAGGTGCTTTTTATAGTCTCTTATGGTACCTTGATATGATATACTTTTAAAAGTAGATCACTTTGCTGATTCACTTTGCCCTACCTGAGCTTCTATTAAATTAATGTGCAGATTATTTCTTGCATTAGTAATATGGATGTCTTGCTGGATAGAGGGCATTTAAAGAGCCATGGGCCCTAATGACAGTTAAGAGCCCAAGCAGATTTTAATTTAGTCACCTGATTGAGACCTGACAGATTTTATCCTGGATTCCAAAAATTGGGTGTCCTGCCATGAGTGATGTGCATGACATGAGGTGCAGTTTTGGGGATAAATTTGTCTGGTTTCAGTTGTGCAGCTGCCTACTGCATCTAGGATGTGGGAAGCTGGGAACTCCCAGATATCCAGTTGCTAGTGCCACACTGAAATTAAAGAATGATGCAAACCACCCATGAGGACTTCTGCATTTTTGTGTTTATTGCACAGTGAACACGTTTAAGAAATGTAACATCTAGGAGAGGCTTAATAATCTGTATCAACAAAATGAAACGGGTAACAAAATGAAATAGGTTGACCATGTAAAATTAGCTGATTTCCAAAAATGATTAATTTGCTTTTCTGTTACTTTGCATAGTCTGTGCCTAACTTCATCAGCCGTCAACACATCTTTGATGAAAGATATATCTGTTTTGAGTGTGTTGACCTGCCTATACCATTAACTAATAGATTTTTTAAATGCTGATTGTTGTTGTTGTTGTTCCAACAGGAATTTCTACAGACGAAAGTTTATCTACATCAGTTACCAATCAACCTGTACATCAGAAAGAAAATACTACATCTTTACTTGTGACAAGCAATTCTGATCAATTCCTGACAACTCCTGATGGAGAAGAAAAAGATATAAGCCAAGACAGTTCAGAATTGAAACAGAGATCTTCAAAGAAAGATTTGTTGGAGATAGACAGGTTTACCATTTGTGGAAACAGAATTGACTAGATTTTATGGATAGATGTTCTAAGGATACTGAGCGACTGGGGCTGCAGATGCTACCAGACTATGGACAGTTGCCAAAAAAGGCACTTAAATATTTATTTAAAAACTTAAATTATTAATGGCAAACAGATAGTAATTTCTTTCTGCACGTAACCTGGCTTGGTAGCTGGGTCAGATCAAGTAACAAATATTTAACTTGGCTCTGTGGAAAATGTGATGGATCATGAGAGCCTCTTGTCCATTTGACAGTTACAGTATCCCTTTCCTGGATATAGACTGAAAAAAATCAAAATCCCATTTGCATTGTGACACCGTGCTTCCAGAACGAATTGCTTTTCTTGAAGGTCTTTCCAGTATAAGGATACACCAAGAAATGTATGACGGCTCTAACAGGAAGCTTATCTTTCCAGTCATGTTATTTTCATAAACAGCTGCAAACAGTATACTTAAAAGCCAATGCATAAAGCAGCACTGGCAGATTAAACAGTAAGTCAAGATAATTATTCTTGTCACCGGAAAAATCTTTGAAGATGTATCTGAACTAATCAGAATAAAATACTATCTTTAAACGAAGAGACCTCTACCGCATAGCATTTTATATAAATACTAAACCAGTGAGGAAAATGGATCACAAATATAAAAAAAGAGTGAAGGTTCTGGATAACTGGGCAAACAGCACTATCATTTTTCTGTTCAATTATGGTGTGTTCTGCAAAGCAAACTCCATGTGTTTTTATAAACATTATACAAAGGCTTTTATATAAGCTGAGGGTTTTCATTGCACTTAAGAAAAGGTTCAAAGTGGCATGTCATTATATGAAGGAAAGGCAGTGTTAATTTTGCAGCAACTTCTGCTGCTGGTGCACTGGAGCTATCTGGAATTAGTACAGAAGATCTACACTGCCTTTTGGTTTAAACTGTTTGATATGTATTAACTTGGCTGGAAAAATGCCAATAGATATAGTTGTATGGAAAATCAGACATGCCCATTCTAACTGAGGAATGTTAAGCAAAATTAAATGGATTTGAATAGCTTTTGTTATGAAGTGCTTAAATGCATCTTAATTTCTGGTGTGGGGGCAGGGTTGGGGGATGAAATCTAGAACACATTTTGTCCTTAAATTAAGAATAAATTACGTTTCGGCTCAACAACTGAGCTAGAGAACAGCATCCCAAGACAATCTTTATCTTGTCATGAAACATGCATACATTATTAAAATACAACATTAACATCTCCTCACAAATCTTTCAAAGATTTAAGTAAATTCCAGTTAAATTATAGTGACTGGGATTTATTTTGGTTTTTGGAAACGATGCAAATATTTCAGTACTGAACAAATGACAGAAGTGGTCTAATTTAGAGTTGTCACAGAGTGGAAAAGCCAGAGTTTAAAGGCTGGCTTATGAAAAGGACGTGGAAGTTCAGAATATGTGCTACTTCCTAAAACCTGTATTACTATGACAGTGTGGAGATGAATGTACAGGAATGTTATGAGGCTGAGCAGAAGTTGCAGTGCAAGGTGGGTTTTATCATACAGGGCAACTTTCTCTGCTTTAAAAGGAGCTTGTTGCTGCACTCTCCATCTTTTGCTCCCACCAAGAGCACCTGAAGTAATGGCCAAAATCAC